AAATGATTTAAAAATCCGTTTTTAAAATGATTGGTGTAGATGTTATTTTGTCAACCAACTTTGTAACTCAACTTTGTACATATAACATAAATCCACGCTACAAAATTTGTTAATTGTACTACATTTTTAAATATATTTTTATCTATTAATAACTTTGTCACATATATAATGACATAAATAACCCCAAATTTACACCACATAAAAATCCTTACACATTTTATGTACACCACGAGTAACTATCACAAATAGGGAAGTGGAAAACATAATTATGCGTGCGATAGTGCAAACTCATTGCAAAAACATATTCTTTTGTTTCACATTGATATATGTTTATCCAAACTTTATAAAATGTGTGATCGAGGAGTGAATAAAAGTTGTGGATCATAGAAATTTGTGATTAAATTAATTGTTAATTTTGATTTCAATTTTATAGCAATTTATTAAGCCCATGTTTAGCCTCAATTTTTAATTTTCTTCTTTTTAAATTCATTCTTTAACTCACGACTTTTATCAATTTTTCAATCATACATTTCATCAACTTTTATCAAAATCTGCAAAAATTTTGATTTTTATCTAAACAAAACAGCTTTTCTAAACAAGCACCAAGCTTTAGGATAGAGACAAATGAGCTTGTTTGGTAGGGATTTTTTTAGGGAAGAATTGATTTTGAATAGTGATATGATAGGAAATGTGTGGTTGAAAAAGAAGAAAAAATTATTGACGTGATGGAAAATATTATTTTATTGAAGAATGTGTAGTTGAAAATATGAATTGATTTACTGTAGAAAATGAGAATCCCTACCAAACAGGCCCATTGATTCCTCTTGCGCCTTATTAATCATTTTACGATGTTGCAATAAAGTTTGGATAAACATATATCGTAATTTAGGTGTGTTTGAAGTGAGTTTTTTGGAAAACTATTTTTTTCCACACATTTTCAAAAAATTATTTTCACATTATTTTCATAATTTTTTAGCCACACATTTTTCCAATTAAAAAAAAAAAAACTCTTTAAATAAACACTTCCACACAACTTAATTAAATTTTTTGTTTACTATTAATTTGAATCCAAGTTATTGATAACTTATTAATTACAATATAAAAATTAGGGATGGACTTCCTAACCTTTCAATTAGGTGGTTTTGGGTTCTCGTCTCCAACCTACTAAACATTTGTATGACTTCCTATGTGACCAAAACAATCAATGTAGATGTTAAAATCACACACGGCTTTCTTGTGACTTAAAGTTAGAGGACAAAACCATCAAATGACTTAATGTCGAGCATTAAATCACGTGATAGTCGTATCATCTACATTGACAATTTTCACAAAGTATGTTCCAATTCACATATTAATAAGTTGGAAAGGCACAACCTCACGTTACTCAGAATCCAAAATCACACCACTTGAAAGATTGAAGAACCCAACCATATTTTTTCGTAATTGAAAACAATTACATGCATGGAGCTCACTCTTTGGACATAGAGGTGTCGATCGGGACTCCTTGAAACCTGCTAACAGATTGTCATGGGAAGGCAATATTTGTCTCTCACCAGGAATTCCTTTTCTGTTCTTCCTATTTTCTCTTGTCCATACATTCCTCAGATTATTCGGAGGAGATGACCATTGACAAAATACCACATAGTTTCCTGAATCCTTTCCTCTGCTTCTCATTTTGAATCTCCTTTTGTTCTTGAGATAATTTGTTTATTTTTACTTCTACCAAATTCTTGCAAGATTTTAATGTAGAAACAGAACACGTCTTCATTAAAAAGGAAATACCTATCTGGCGTGTGTCAGTTAATTAAACGATTGCTATATAACTAGGAATCTTTTCAAATTAAATTAAAGATCATACAGAATAATTCGAAAATGTCGGAACTTGTCTAGCCAGCCATCAAAAAAGGCAATACGCACTCCGGGGACTGGTGGTTCTTCCGGTGGTTCTCGGGGAAACCGGGGGCCAAACAGTGAAATTTGCCAGGCGAACTTCAAGCGGTAGGTACGTTAGTCTCTCCAGAGAAGACCTGAATATGTCATGAGAATTTTCGGGCGATTACATGAATTATACTGTTCACATTCCTCCTACGCCGGATAATCAGCCAATGGACCCTTCTGTGGCTACAAAAGCAGAAGAACAATATGTATCCAATTCTCTCTTCACCGGTGGATTCAACAGCATCACTCGTGCTCATCTCATGGATAAGGTAATTGAATCGAAGGTGAGTCATCCAAAGATGGCCGGTTCCAAGGGCTCGTCCTGTGCCATGCCAGCTTGTGATTGCAAGGTTATGAAAGATGAAAGGGGTAACAACGTTATTCCTTGTGAATGCAAGTATCTCATCCAAAAGTTAAGACCATAAGGTCTAACATGATACATTATCTAAAATCTTAAGTTGCTAGAGAGGGATTCATGTATTTTAAATAATGTTTTCTAATATCAACATTTCTTCGAATGGGGAGGTTGTGGGATTGGAGTTGAAATCAGCTGTCCAAAACTGGCTATCCAGCTTACTGTCCACTCAATGATTCTTCGACACATCACTTTAAATTAATATGTTCATTTTTTCTCTTACTGTCACTCGTGTTTAAAAATAGGTGTAAAATGATGTATCAATAAATAATTTGTGGACAATAATTTAGACAGCAAATCTCAACTCCATGATAGATATTGAAACTTTGAAAGTCAATGATTGAATGGGAGAGAATGAGAGGAAAAGAATGGTGACTAAAAAGATACAGATGAATCAAGGCTTCTTTTAGTGCTTGAGGTTTTACTGAGTTTCATCCTTCAAATTTTTGTTTGTTCCTTTTTATGAGTGTGTGTGAGCCACATTATTTTGGAAGAATGTATTTTGAAATAGTAGATTGATGGAGAATGTGTAGTTAAAAATGAAGGAAAATATTTTGATTTGATAGAAAATATTATTTTATTGAAAAATGTGTGGTTGAAAATGAGTAGAAAAATGAGAATGAAAATTTTAATGTAGCTCAAACAGGGGCTATATTGGGAAAATTATAGAGCTTGTAATCCTTCATCTAAGCCAAAATTTCGGAAGAAATTTTGATTAAAAAGAACATTTTCTCTTCCGAGTTGATAATTTTTTCCCTCGTTAAATTTGTGTCAGCTGCTGGGATTGGTGGTGGCTTTGCTCTGGAGGTGGCATTGGTTTGGTATTGGACTGGTAGTGATGGTAGAGGTGTGAGGGTGGAGTAGGGACTGGGATGGCAAGGGGAGGAACCGGGTAGGAGTCGGGGCAACCTCCCGCGCCCCGCCACGTAATTTCCCGTCCCATTACATATTTAAGGCAAGGCAGGGAGTCCCTTTTCCCTTTACTATCCTTTTAATTTTATTTTTAGTAATTCACTTTTTTATAATTCATTTTGTTGCTCCATTTATTAAAGTTGGACAATAATATATTTATTAATTTTTTAAATTTATTTACTTATTTTAAAAAGTTAAATTATTCAAATATATTTGTTAAACTAATATTTTTATTGTTTGTCATATTTCACGTTCCCTTTTTCACTTAAACTTGAGGGTAATATTGACTTTTTCTATCACTTCGACGGCAAACTGGACTGAAACTGCTAATGAGAACTAAAGCCGCTAATTTAAGAAAGCTTGGGGATAAGAATGCCAAGAAATAAAGGTTGAAGGTAGAAGTGCAAAAGAAGGTTAAGTTGAGGACGATGGCCATAATTTGCTCTTTTTGATAAGTATTGAGCAATAAAGAAGAAAAAAAGAAACTCAAACCATGCCTAGTGTAACGTCTAATCCATCCCAATACTGGAAAAGGAACAAACTCCACGGTACACAATTCATTGACATGGGAAAATAACTTCTACTTAGAACAATTTTATGTCAAATACACAGCATGGCACAGAGACAGAGAAGGTAATACAAGAAACCTTATTTCACGGAGGCAAATATTCATAATCGACAAGATACTTCTTAAAACCAATTGTGACACAGGCAATCTCAATCACTTCAACCAGGACAACAATTATTACAGCACCACCCATTACCTAATAAAATGAGTGGAAGAATGAGAATGAAAATTTTAATGTGGCTCAAACAGGGGCTATATTGGGAAAATTACAAAGCTTGTAATCCTTCATCTAAGCCAAAATTTCAGAAGAAATTTTGATTAAAAAGAATATTTTCTCTTCCGAGTTGATAATTTTTTCCATTGTTAAATTTGTGTCAGCTGCATGGGATTGGTGGTGGCTTTGCTCTGGAGGTGGCATTGGTTTGGTTTTCGACTGGTAGTGATGGTAGAGGTGTGAGGGTGGAGTAGGGGTTGGGATGGCAACGGGACGGAGCGGGTACGAGTCGGGGCAACCTACCCCATCTCGCCAGGTAATTTCCCGCTCCATTACACATTTAAGGCAAGGAGGGGGAGTCCTTTTTCCCTTTACTATCCTTTTAATTTTATTTTATTTTTAGTAATTCACTTTTTTATAATTCATTTTATTGCTCCATTTATTAAAGTTGGACAATAATATATTTATTAATTTTTTAAATTTATTTACTTATTTTAAAAAGTTAAATTATTCAAATATATTTGTTAAACTAAGATTTTTATTGTTTGTCATATTTCACGTTCCCTTTTTCACTTAAACTTGAGGGTAATATTGACTTTTTCTATCACTTCGACGGCAAACTGGACTGAAACTGCTAATGAGAACTAAGGCCGCTAATTTAAGAAAGGTTGGGGATAAGAATGCCAAGAAATAAAGGTTGAAGTGCAAAAGAAGGTTAAGTTGGGGACGATGGCCATAATTTGCTCTTTTTGATAAGTATTGAGCAATAAAGAAGAAAAAAGAAACTCAAACCATGCCTAGTGCAACGTCTAATCCATCCCAATATTGGAAAAGGAACAAACTCCACGGTACACAATTCATTGACATGGGAAAATAACTTCTATTTAGAACAATTTTATGTCAAATTCACAGCATGGCACAGAGACAGAGAAGGTAATACAAGAAACCTTATTTCACGGAGGCAAATATTCATAATCGACAAGATACTTCTTAAAACCAATTGTGACAGAGGCAATCTCAATCACGTCAACCAGGACAACAACATAATGTCGTGGTGGGTAATGGATTTGGTGATGATCTTGCACATAACGTAGACCACAGTACTTGCATACTGCCGGCTCATCCAGGTCAAGGCATATGAACTCAATTGGATGTCCAAGTGCAGGATCATTGTCTGCGCTCGAAAGAAGGAATAGGAAATATAAGAAAACACAGGTTATATAACCAAGGGATGGAAATCTCTTCACATTGTGACAGTAACTTAAAAGATGTTATGCAAACTTACCTCCTTCACAAGCAACAATCCGACCTTCAACTTTGATGGGTGGAACTTCATTGATTAATTCCATTGGAGATTTTTTGCTTGTATCCTAACAAAGTGGTACAAGAAAACTATAACAGTATGCAACTGGAGTAGCAAGAGTTTCCACAAGGCAAAGCAGGAAGAGTATAATAGTTGAAGCTATAACGAAATGTCCAAAATGAATCATGAAATTTGCTGGAAACTATATGCATAAAAACCTTACAAGCACAAAAGCTGATTGAACTTAAAAGCTTGCATAATGATATTCCATAAAACTGATAAAGAAACTACTGAGCTGTCCCAAGTTATTGCTAGAACTTTGTCTCATTTCCAAATTGGCGAATCCTCACAAAATCCAAATGAAAAAAAAAAAAAAAGAAAAGAAAAGAAAAAAAAGAAAAGCACAGAGACTTGGAATATTGTGATTCATATTCACTGAAAGGTATAAAGGCCAAACATTTCATTATAGACTAGACTAGATAACTCAGAAAGTTATCTTCCTTTATTTGCCCAAATAATGACTTGATAGTTCATCTTCATAGTTCCAACCAAGTGTTTTGGATGCTATACTTGGCCATCCACATCATATTAAGCACTGATGAAGATATGGCACTCACACAATTATTGTAGTACTCAAATACAGATTTAAAAGGGTCCCAATAGAGAAAAGTTTCCAGTAGCACATATTCATTTTGATAAGCATCTGCTCTATTTTAATAAACCAAATTCTCAACATAGTCTAATAATAAAATTAAGTTGGTTTCTTACAATTTTTTTCTCCAATAACTGGAAAGAGATACCAATCGTGTCAATGCATTACAAAATTGAAAATTCCTTTAGCTTGCTAGTTCTTGTTGTAGTGCAATGATGCTCTGATGGTGTTTACAAAACTTCTAAGATGAAGGAAAGAACAAGTGATAAAGCTAAACACAGGGATAGGCACAGGGTGATTTGGTCCAGATTTCTTGAAAATCGGATCAAATCGATTCCCATTCGGAATTATGAAAATAGAACCATTGATTCTATGGGCCAAAAAGGCAGTCTGGTCCAGTTCTACTTAATGGTATTCAGGCCAAACATATTGTTATAAATTAGACGAGATAATCAGAAAGTTATATTCCTTTATTTGCCAAAATAATGGCTAAATGGTTCATATTCGTTGCTCCAGCTAGATGTTTTAGATGCTATAGTGTTCGTCCATGAAGTAAGCTTTGATAAATAATAGGCATTCACACAATTGGCTTAGAATTCTAAAATGGGGTTAAAATGGTTCAAAAATAGAGGAAAACTTCCATTAACGCTCATGAGAATAACCCACATATCTTCACAGCGCATTTTCATAGCTCCTGCTATATTTAACATTATAAATTTTGAACAGTCTGACAATAAAATTAAGCTGGTTTCTATATTTTATTTTTTGTTCAATTCTTGGAAAGAGAGAACTTGTATCAATGCATTGTGATTCCTTTAGCATGCCAGTGTTTGGCTCTATAGTAGACCGGATAGTAGAACGGAGATGCTTCAACCCTAGGTAAAACTTCGATGGTGTTTACAGATATTCTACGAGGAAGGACAGAACAATTGATAAGCTACAGCACACCTTATTTCTCACTAGTAAAGCCGTCGGCCTACGACAGATAATAAAAGTCTACACGAGAAGTTCACTAAAGTGACATAATCAATTGCCAAAAATAATTTCACAACATCATTTAGAATTCAATATTTCTGCTTAGTGTATATGATACTCTCGTGAATAATATACAGTCATAATCATGATCAAAAGAAGAAGCTTAAAAGATGTTATCTATTTTTATAAATTCCCATCCGTACACAGTCATCTCTGGCTATTGGATACTATGGAGAAAAATGGGGGTTTGAAATAAGAAAAATAAAAATGACATTCTTTTTAGCAATTAAGATGACTTTTATTTTGATCTCTCAAATTTAAATCCTAAATTAAAACTTCTTTAGTAGACAGACATTCAAAATTCAGAACATGAGATAGAACGAAGGGGAGTCATATCATGACAAATAACTTGCTTAGTCTTTATCTCTGCTCCAAAATAAAAAAGAAGTGGGCAAAAGGCTCAATTACAGTTCTTTGCGACGAATCCCGAAATATTAAAATCGCAGTAAATAACATATTGCAGAAGATCAGATACCGAAGTCAAGCTTAAAAATAAAACCGATCCTTATTATTTCGAAATTATAAACCCTAAACTTGAAAATTTAATGTGTACCTATGTACCTACATACCTAAAATTGAAATTTAATGTGTACCTATTTACCTACATACATAAATACATAGAGAGTGTACCTGCATCCATTTGGCGGTGTGGGAGGTGACAACCTCGCTGCTAACGGCGTCGCTGAGGCATCGTGAGCTGGAAGGAAGAGTGGAGGATCTTTGGATTACTAGGGATTTCATGAAGTTTGTCGCCATTGCTATGCCCTGTGTTCTCCCTGACATCGCCATTGTTCTCGGTCAGAGTCCTAGAGCGAGATATTCTTTTTACTCCAGAAGACAGATTAAAAAGTTTAGAAAGTTATGTGAAAGTCAATAATCATTCTTACGGGTATAAGTTTTCATTAAAATTTATAAAAGAAATTATAAAAAATTAGTTGAACAGTTCCCCGTGATAACCAAAAAGGTTTCAAGTCTCTCCAGGCTAATTAAGCTGCATTGTCAGAAAAAATTTGCCCACTTTTGTTAAGGAGGAAGTCCAGAAGGCGAACCCCCCACCTATGCCGGAGGCCCCTCAGCCAGGTGGGTTGTAAATCGAGGGATATGTACGAGTGGCAAGGACCTGAGGGAGAGAGCCAACAGGACACGAACCCAACCTAGCAGAGCCCCGACAACCCCAACGAGGCGAAAGTCCGACCACTGAGTGGGGAATCGAACCTGCGATGCTGGAGGATTTCTCCCCACGTCACCTCAGGCCTTACCAACTCGTCTATGCCCCTGGGGGCAAAAAAAAAAAAAAAATTTGCCCACTTGATTGACCTCTATCCTCGTATGCGTGTGGGACTTGTGTGAATAAAAAATGTCAAAAAATCTTCCCCCACCTGCCATTGTGAGTGTGATGTCAGGGAGCATCATAGCATGATTGAATATAGGCCTCTGTTCGCTAGATCGCTTTTATTAGTATGTTTGATGACATTTCAATGTAACATTTTTTTTTAAAGACATATATTACTCTACAAGGATATCTCACTTTTTTTTTTTTGCTTTCCTGTTAATTAGTGCTTATCGAGCGTTATATCTCATGAATTGGATATATCGTTTCTCCATTGAGACAAACAAAGTTCACTGTATCCGTAAGCACTTTCATCATTTCTTGCTATGCTATGATATGCTTAGGCCCTGTTTGATGGACCATGTTTTTCTAGGAAAAAGGAAAATAATTTTCAACCTTGTCAAAAAGTGGTGTTTGATTGCACAAATTTTACCAAGAAAATTTTTTCCCTCCCCACACGTACGCGTCACTTTTCCTAGAATTTAGGGAAAATGCTTTCCCACCATTCCATCTGACGTCAATTTTTTTGTTTTTTTTTTGTTTTTTTTTTTGTTTTTTTTTGCAATGAAAACAAATTTCATAACCAGTTGTAATTTTTTTCACTTTAATGGACAATTTTTATGTAAAATAAAGTCAAACGAACACTAAATTTCGATAAAAAATGATTTTTTATGAAATATTTTTTTCTTTTTTTTTACTTTTTGGCAATGGAAACAAATTTTATAACCAATTGTGGAAACCATTATCACTTTAATGGACAATTTCTATATAAAATAAAGCCAAACGAACACAAAATTTAAAAATTTTCAGGGTGGAAAATTATAACAATCAAACACGTTTAATTAACAATTCTCTGCAAAACATTTTCTAAGTAATTACTTTCCCTTAAATTCATTTTCTTTCCACCCATTTTTCATTATTGCAATCAAACGGACCCTTATACCGAGACATTTTGTCCCTGTATGTTTTGTACCATGCAGCTGCATGGGTTTGTACCATGCGGCTGCATGATACAAATTTTCGACCTTTTTTAGTCGTTTCATCCGTTGTGGTTTTGAATTTGGAGCATTTTGAAGATATTTTGGCACCATTTCGTATACATTTTCTGATGGCTATATATAGATGATCATATTTCTTGTAAAGATGTTGAAAAAGATAACAAGTATAAGATTCATTCCAAAATGAAAAGAAACAACTTTTTTCTTCCACATTCATATTTCTCTCCTTGTGTTCTTAAGTTTAGGTAGAAATACTTAGTGCTTTGGTATTTTTACAACAAGGTTTGATTAATCCTTCAAATCATTTGTCGGAAGACCTTTAAGCACCAAATTGGTATCGGAGATGGGCAAATATCGTTTGAGGACAACGTCTATCGTGTTTGAGCCTTTCGCGTCATTAGAGTTCTTGATTACTTGCATTGGTTACTTTCAAGTCTTTGTGTGGAAGATCAAAATCTATAAAAGGAAAGACTACAATATGCGTAAATATGAGATAAGTTTATCGTCTTCTTTTAGTTATTTCCATTGTTAAATTTAAAGTTTCATCATGGTTTTGTTCATTTTGTTGTTGGTCATAATTGTTGATTTCTTCTCCATTCCCTCTCTTAGTGGAAATATTCCCAACATTGTAGAATAAAGAAACATGTTTCCACATATTAAGATCCAGGTAACTTGTACTTGCAAGAACAAAAACGAAGGTGCGGCATGCATGCACCGGCAAGGAAAATGAACTATTTTCTCTCTATCCTTTTCTGCTTTACTAGTGTGGCAAACGTGTGTTGCATGTTAATTGGATGATGTTAAAAATAAGTGTGTAACAAAATAAAGAATAAGCCTCGATATACAAATTATATTTACAAACTCGACATACAATAGAAACCAATTTGAGGATTGTTATCAGATGCAATCCATTCACATGCTTTATGTTTAAAAAAATATATAGTATCTTGATTCAACTTTGAGAATAGGAAAAATTGTATTTGACATGCAACATTAATATAATCTGACAAAATTATTCACTAAATCAAAAAGGAAAATGACATTAACTATGAGCTCACCAGTGAATATGTATTTGAGAAGAGGAAAAATTGTATTTGAGAAATTTTTGCAGATTGAATAAAACACCAAAATAGATGAATCTCAGCTCAAAGGACAACATTAACTATAATTAGTACAATGACATTGAAGCACACGTGGGGGTTGCCCCCGACGGTGATCGAGGGGGCAGTGCCCCTCGTGGGAGCTCGGGGGCAATGCCCCCGAAAGGAATTCTGATTTTCGTGTATATAATGAAGTTGTGTTTTTTAGTGGGGGTTAGAAAATGTGATAAGATGCTTTATCATTTTTACATATTGAAATATAGAAAAAAATTTATATACATCTTATTACAATATAGTTTTCGCAACAATTTACAATTATAATATAATCCAATTAAAAAAAGAAAGAAAAAATTCTATATACCCTCTCAATTGATCCATCTTATTTTTTCTCTCTCTCCACAACCTAATTGTTTTAACACAATTTTAAAAAATATATCTTATTGTTAAAAAAAATAAAAAATTGTCTCTGTGCCGTGGCACGAAGACACAAGGTCGTGTCTCCCGTACCGCGCACAGAGACAGTGTGTCTCCGTGCACGCGCACGGAGACACAACACATCTCTGTGCGCGCACGGATCTTGTGTCTCCGTGCGCTGACGGAGACACGGCCAAAGTGGACGGAGGCATGCGTGATAAGATGCTTTATCATTTTTACATATTGAAATATAGAAAAAAATTTATATACATCTTATTACAATATAGTTTTCGGAACAATTTACAATTATAATATAATCCAATTAAAAAAAGAAAGAAAAAATTCTATATACCCTCTCAATTGATCCATCTTATTTTTTCTCTCTCTCCACAACCTAATTGTTTTAACACAATTTTAAAAAATATATCTTATTGTTAAAAAAAATAAAAAATTGTCTCTGTGCCGTGGCACGAAGACACAAGGTCGTGTCTCCCGTACCGCGCACAGAGACAGTGTGTCTCCGTGCACGCGCACGGAGACACAACACATCTCTGTGCGCGCACGGATCTTGTGTCTCCGTGCGCTGACGGAGACACGGCCAAAGTGGACGGAGGCATGCGTGATAAGATGCTTTATCATTTTTACATATTGAAATATAGAAAAAAATTTATATACATCTTATTACAATATAGTTTTCGGAACAATTTACAATTATAATATAATCCAATTAAAAAAAGAAAGAAAAAATTCTATATACCCTCTCAATTGATCCATCTTATTTTTTCTCTCTCTCCACAACCTAATTGTTTTAACACAATTTTAAAAAATATATCTTATTGTTAAAAAAAATAAAAAATTGTCTCTGTGCCGTGGCACGAAGACACAAGGTCGTGTCTCCCGTACCGCGCACAGAGACAGTGTGTCTCCGTGCACGCGCACGGAGACACAACACATCTCTGTGCGCGCACGGATCTTGTGTCTCCGTGCGCTGACGGAGACACGGCCAAAGTGGACGGAGGCATGCGTGATAAGATGCTTTATCATTTTTACATATTGAAATATAGAAAAAAATTTATATACATCTTATTACAATATAGTTTTCGGAACAATTTACAATTATAATATAATCCAATTAAAAAAAGAAAGAAAAAATTCTATATACCCTCTCAATTGATCCATCTTATTTTTTCTCTCTCTCCACAACCTAATTGTTTTAACACAATTTTAAAAAATATATCTTATTGTTAAAAAAAATAAAAAATTGTCTCTGTGCCGTGGCACGAAGACACAAGGTCGTGTCTCCCGTACCGCGCACAGAGACAGTGTGTCTCCGTGCACGCGCACGGAGACACAACACATCTCTGTGCGCGCACGGATCTTGTGTCTCCGTGCGCTGACGGAGACACGGCCAAAGTGGACGGAGGCATGCGTGATAAGATGCTTTATCATTTTTACATATTGAAATATAGAAAAAAATTTATATACATCTTATTACAATATAGTTTTCGGAACAATTTACAATTATAATATAATCCAATTAAAAAAAGAAAGAAAAAATTCTATATACCCTCTCAATTGATCCATCTTATTTTTTCTCTCTCTCCACAACCTAATTGTTTTAACACAATTTTAAAAAATATATCTTATTGTTAAAAAAAATAAAAAATTGTCTCTGTGCCGTGGCACGAAGACACAAGGTCGTGTCTCCCGTACCGCGCACAGAGACAGTGTGTCTCCGTGCACGCGCACGGAGACACAACACATCTCTGTGCGCGCACGGATCTTGTGTCTCCGTGCGCTGACGGAGACACGGCCAAAGTGGACGGAGGCATGCGTGATAAGATGCTTTATCATTTTTACATATTGAAATATAGAAAAAAATTTATATACATCTTATTACAATATAGTTTTCGGAACAATTTACAATTATAATATAATCCAATTAAA